AAAAAAAAAAAAAAAAACAATTCAGCTTGAAAACTATTTTGTAATGATATCATGTAAAAATGCAAGGCCTATGCTTCTTCATTTATTTGTTCATTTTGAGAGCAAGAGAAGCAAATTTATAGTCAATATAGTATTGCTAGCAAAAGTTGATATGTAAATTGTGAGTGGCTGATCTATGGACATTTTAATAATCATGATTTTTTATATTTTTCATCAGCAAATCCAGCAAACTGTGCTTGACACGCTGACGCCAGATGACATCCGTGTCTTGATAGCTACAGTAGATGAGGACTCCAGGAAGGGGGGCTTTGAGAGGGTGTTTCCCACTGCCAAATCCAGCAAATATCTCAAGTTCTTTGAGCAGCCAAGGTACGGTTGAGAATTTTGGAAACTTGGAAACTGTTCTGTAACATTTATTGTTGGGCATGTGCTGTATATTTATGTAAAAGTGAATGTTTAAATTTTTGGACGAATTTGGTTAATATCCTTGGAAGGATGGATAATTTTGATGTCATGAAAAAATTTTGGATGAACCTTGTTATATCATATTTAAAGTTCAACAAGTTTTCCATTTTGTATTGCTCTTTGAGTTCAGAGAGCAGTCAAGAATATTAAGAACAGTTCTGAAATATATTACATAGCTAATTGTGACCATTTCAAATCAGTCAGTTTGAAAAATATTCAAATCCAACCCTAGGTACTACAACCTGTTGTTAAACCAGTGGGTTCAGAGGTATAACAAGATGGAGGCAAGGGGCGTGGCACTCCTGGATTCCTTCTGTCAGAAATGGGTCCATGTGCAAAGTCCAACTACAGATCCTTATCACCAGGTATGTAAGAGGAGAATCCCCTTTTCTCTTGGATAGAATAGTGATGATAAAGTGAATGAACAGTACTACACTGTCTTTTCATGGACAATCTTTACTGTCAGTGCTTACATGACTGAAACTGGCATTTCACTAGTTGAATTGTTTTGTCAACCTTTTGGTTTTGGTACATATGCTTTAAATATTAGGAAAAAAATTAGGAAGAAACTGGAAACAAGCCAGATCTCTTTTGGTAAGGGGGTGGGGGGGAGTTGCTAACTGGAAAAAAAGTGGAGATATTGCTTTAATGCCAGTAACTTTGTGTTTGCATATTAAATCTGTAGTCTTTCCTCAGGTTTTACAATAAAAATAATGTATTTTCTTTCAGTGGAGTCCTCCAAATGCCACCCCTCGCACACTGAGTGCTCCGTCTAGCAAACCAGGAGTAGGGAACTCAAGGTGAGTCTCTTCATATAGACTGGACTTCACTTTTATAAAGGGGGGAGGAGAAGAAAAAGAACACTCAAGATGTTATAACCAATTTGTATCTTTTCATACTTAATTTGTGTATACTAAGAACTTAAAATGAATAATATATATTAGTAAGTGAATGAAGGATACGTGTTTTATAATTAAGTAAATGAATAAATAGATAATTGAATACATGCTATAAAAAGGCATTTGAGGAAAAAGAGCAGATGATAATTTGGATAATTATATCAGAAAATTCGGATCAAAATTTCACCAGTTACTTGTTTCCATTGCAGTTCAACATCCCAGCTGCCAAAGCTACGCAAGAAGAACAACAAGCCAATTCAGAAAATGTCCCACTCAGGAAGTGCGTCATCACTGGATAAGTATATGATGCCATCCAACCCACCGTCCAAACAGAACAGATGAGGCCTTCCCCGTCTACCACCATTGAAGGAACTTTTAGAAGCTTCGGATATTACATTTTTTGGCCAGCAAAGTAGTAGTAGTAATAGTAGCATTCGACTTCACCTTACACCTGGCGAGAGTTTGAAGCAGCAGCGTAACTCTATATCAGACTGGATGAAGAAGGTACGAGAGTCTATTGGAGAGTTGCCAGATTCCTTAGCAACCAAGGAGAACCTAATCGACACTGGTGATGTCAGTGTTGAAGAAGATAGCATTCCTCCTTTAACTTTGCCATTGAATTTGAAGGAATCCTCAAACTCTGTCACAGGGACTTCGCCGTCATTCCTGGAAGCAGTGACACAGAAACGTGCCAACTCTGTCAGCTTGGCAATAGCTCGAAGGGGTTTGCTCCCTAAGAGTGGTAACAGCGCCACCTTGCGGGAACATGCACGTCTCACCAGCGTCAGTCGTGTTGGGATGCGTGACCTTGACAGCAGTCTGTCTCAGTACAAGAAGGCTTCATGGTCTCAGTCCAGTACCTCGGATTCGGCCGTCTTCACGATGTCAGGTGCAGAGTCAGAGGCACTCGATAACAGGCCTGCAGCTAGAAGAGGAGGAAGACCTCGGCCCTCCTCTTATAAGATTCAGCGCCATTCCAGCTTCAACAGCAAGGATTACACAGGTCCAGTAGGGTCAAATATTATACCTGTGTGGAGAGAGACACTGCAGATCATGCGACGCCATAGTTCTCCCCAAGGTAGCAAGCTGCTCGCCAGAGCTCAAGTGTACTCTGTGGCCGAAGTTCAGAATCTCAACGACATAGGACAACCATCTTCTTTTCACGCGCACAAATAAATAAGAACTGCCCAATCAAGCTAGTATTCCATTGGTTCGTGACACGTTTCCATTAACGCCGAAAAGGCAGGAATGCTGATCATGTAATAAGCATTCTGAGTGGTCATTTCTGATGACTAAAACGTAAACTGATTGGACAGTTTTTCAGGTCTCCTCTGTGATAGTAGTGTAATATGTAGTACTGGCGCCATTCACACTGAATTTATTGTGCTGTTAGTATAGAGTTATTGTAGTTAGTCAATTAGCGTGCTTACATCAAATGACCATATCATCAGTATTACAGTCCCCCCCCAGTGATGGATTAGGTTTTGAAATAGAGACCAATCACCTTGGCCCCCATGTGATATAAAATTATTTTTTCAAGTAATATGAGGCCAAGGGATGTCTTTATGCAACCTAAAAGTCTGTTTAAACGCAGCCATTAGAGTGGATTGCTAACGCAAGTGGCACATAGTTACTGGGTAGTGTCAGTCATGTTGCTGCTCCAGGTAATAAATACATCAAGGTAATGCCGATGATTACAATGAAATTCATGTCTAATGGACTGAGTTAATTGCCTGTTGTGCACCTTATGTATGGGCTGCCAAAGGATATGTGTGGGGGGGGGGGGGTCAGATCTCGTTCATGTCTCACTCTTTTTCTTTACACCCACATTTCTGTGCCTTTTACTAACAGTTTCACTTTCACTTTCACTTTGCATGGAAATGCAAGCAAGTCAGCTGATTCAGAGAAGTATATGCAACATTGATATAATTCTAATAGTAGTTAGGATTAACATTAATTGAAAGTATTTATTTTTATGCAAAAAGTCAACATGTATGTGACTGTTATTTCCTAACATGTAGACGTGGTGGTTATATTATATTATAATGGAACTGAGTTATATACTTTACTGAACACTAGGGATTTATATATTTTATATAAAACTTAAATGCCTAGGTGATATATTACATTCCAGGCACTATAAGCCATTTACGATTAATAATTTATAGACATGTATCTAATTTAAAGGCAAAATAACATGAATACAGTATATAACAATACTAATCAATATCTTATTGTTTTCAAAATGGATGTTTTACTACAAGTCTGGGGTACATTTGGAGTATTTAGAAGAACATTGAGATAAAAAGTACCTACAAATTACAAAAGGTATCACCTATCCCATTTTCATGACCAAGTTCCATGGCTAGTTATTTATTTTTTGGTTTCTTTTTCATAAAAGTGTTGTTAAAATAAGATTCTTTTCACAATACTTTAAATCATTAATTGTTATGGAAACTCACATGTTATCACAAATTTTCACTCAATCACATCATTTACTAACATCAGTTTCATGTTTTTTGTGTGTCACAGTAGCATGACCATTAGAATTCAAGAGAAAGAGAACCTCTCAAAAATCAAAATGGATAAAATGTGAAGCTAAAATTTCTGTTCCTTAAAATTGTAATGGGGTAGGCGGGGATTTGTTGGGTCTGATAGTTTCTAAATTTTGAGAATTGTGCCTTGTACAATGTTTCTTATGACCGTTTTGACTGCAGAGACATCTATAGGAAACATCTGAAGACCCCTTTTTCAAAAATTGGAAACTTTCAGAACAACTCAAAATTCAAACATGATTTGTCTAGTCAGGTTTTGTTTTGTTTGATAGTGATTTTTTTTTTTTTTTTTTTTTTTTTTTGACCGATTTTGTTTTTAAAAAATGCTCAGAGTGATGCATGTACTGTAGCTTTTTGTTTGTTGTTAAGTTTGTCTTCGTGTTTATGTCCTGAAAGTTTAAGTGTTGATGTGCATGAATAATACTAGGGTAAATACTTTTTGTTGAAAAGTAAGGCTTAAAAATTCTGTTGTTATGCTCTTATGCAACTGAAAAAATACAACTATTTATATCATGTGTTCATACGAAATTTATATTTTTCTACTAAACACTAGCTACTACATAGCCTACTAAGAATTTTAAGATTGGATAAATTTCAACCTAAGATCTAATAAACTGATATTAGATGTTAATTTCGACTAACACAACAGGTTGTGCTACATACGAAATGCCATGGAGTCGAATCAAATTTAACGTTGCTCAAGGAATGTAAAAAAAAAATGGTTATGCAAGTTTGTTTGCCAGTATTGTACATATTTTCTTGTCGATTACTGACATTGGCTGTGCCAATTTCTTTCAAATTGAAATAAATTTTCAGATTGAGTGAAAGAGAAATCGGTGGCTTACTTCTTTATTTAATTCAACTGTATTTCAATGGGTTAAAAATTAATTTGTTAAAATGAACGCTACTTGTCATATCAAGTATGGTTCTGGCCTGCTGCACTTCTCTACTCAAATATAAAATGATCAGCTTTGAAATTTTTGTAATGAGACAAACACAATGATAATTAATGTGAGAAGAAATTCAATTTGTTGGTCCTCCTGATATCACATGCTTTTTTAACCCCCCCCCCCCAAAAAAAAAAAAAAAAAAAAAAAAAGGGGGAAATAATTATTAAGCAATGATGTTTTGGCATATTAGTTAAGTCATTTGGCTGCTCCACAGATTATGGAGATAAAGATTATTCCTCATACAATCACAACTGCCTAGTTGGTATTTTATCACCCTTTCAATGTGTGTTAAACGCAGCACTGCACAGTCAGGCTAACTTTGTCAGGAGCAAGTCTAATGAAGGGAGTGTACGTAGAAGAGAACCTCTCTACAAGGGTTGAATGCTGTAAAGTTCATCTTGTGAAATTCAGCATGTTGATGTTCTGGTGATAATACACATAGTCAAACTCATGAAGTCTTACTCACTTTTTATTCCGTTTCATTTTTAATAACATATTGAATTTCACTCTTTGAGTAAATGTTTGAAAACTCTTTTCTTGGAATGTGGAATATTTAGATGACCATCTTTTGAAAGATACTTAAATACTGTTGATATATGTTTGAATGCATATTTTGGATTTTGGTTTATAAAAAATAACTAAATATTTTGAACTAAGAACCATCTTTAGGTAGATGTTTGAATACTGTTGACTCCATATCTTTTCTTGGTTGTGTTGGTGGCTTCATCTGCTTCATCATAAGGCGGCCGTAGTCTGACCCCTGAATTCCTGCCTCGCGTAATTTTTGCTCTAATCTCACTCTAGGGTCTGAAGCAACCTGGAGAAGATAGTTTTATATTTTAATTGTGACATGATTGTGCTCATGATTTACACAATATCTTGACTAATTATCCAGTGTGGTTTCCAAAATTAGCAAATCTTGATCTCACTCTTGGCTCTGATGCAATCTGGAAAAAATAGCCACTCGATCTACAATTAAAAAAGATTACTGTGGTTTCCAAAAATAAGCAAATTTTAGTCTCACTCTTTCATATCTCTTCTTTTTCACAAAATTATATTGCCAATAACTCACACAAGCAGTGGGTTACCTGATTTGCTGAAAAGCCAAGCATCTTGAAGAGAGGTTTCTGAATGTTGATATCTTCATCCCCTGTTACTCTACTGTGCCACGCCTAAAATAAAAAAGACAAATAAATAAACAAAAAATCATTAAATCAGGTATTTAACACAGTGCTTTATTAGTTTTATTTAAATAAATTACAATTAATGGAAATTTAAGTAAATAATTAGCTTTGATAACACAAGTTTATGGTTAAAATTCTTAGATTTCAAAATTTCTGTCAAAAACTAAATCAGAACAAAAAAAGGAAGTTTTCCAGCATCCATTGGAGAGTGGGTTGGGGAAGGCAGGAAAAGAGAACAGAAACAGGATGTAAGTTAGTATAAAATTATCACCTACCTCAGTGTCATTCCATATCCTCTCAGGATCACTGGCCACCACAGGACGCACCTTGAAAATAAAATAATTACTTTAGTCTACTCTTCAAGAATACAAAAACCAATATATAATTCTCAGGCTTTTCCTTAAAAAGAAACAAAGGGAGGGGTTTGGTTTTCCTCCAAATTAGTAAAGAAAAGATTAAAACAGTTAGCTGAATACAATTATTATATATATTCAAACATCAGCTAAATTTAAGATTCTTTCATTTATCATAATAAGTGAGTTATTCAATCTAGTAAGTACACCTTGAAATAACTGTGTATGAATATATTTCAAATCTTTCACAAAATAACTTTGTAATCAGATTCTTATTTTCGCTTTAGAACCAACCTTTTCCCTGAGAGCCTCTAGTCTCTGTTCCCTCTCCTCCTCATCTCTCAGCCTGTCCTGCTCCTTCTCATACTTAGCTATTTCTTTCTTCAATATCTGCTCCTCACGGAACTTCACTCTAGAAGAGAAAAAATTTATAACCGTTTTATTTCAAAATGATAAAACCTAAATTATTTTGAGGTGAAACACTAGCTCTTTTGGTCAGGAGGTTGCCATAACAACAACAACAACAAAAGATAAGTTCTGTATTATATTTCAACATGCCATACCTTTCTTTATCATGTACTGCTTGTTCTTGTAGAATTTTCTTCAACTCTTCCATTCTTTTTTGTTCCTCCTCCCTTCTCTTTCTCTGTTCTTCTTCTTGCTGTATGTGGTACTTGTTCAGCTGAAATGGCACCATAAAATATATACTGTATAAAAAAAATCAACATTAAGTAATTTGAAAGAAAAGATTTATCACTAAGCCAAAAGCAAAATACAGCTGTAATCTCTTTTAAATTACATAATTGTTGTATAGAAATACCAAAGCACGGCTTATAAATAACTTTGAAATTCTTTTAAACTGTATTTGTCATTAATCAACCTTAGTCAACTCTTTACATGCAAATGAAATAAAACATTCTTCTTTCTAAATCGTAAAAATTCCGTCAAACCTTTTCCTTTTGCTCTTGTCGTTTCTTCTTCTCTTTTTCTTCCTCTATTTTCATCAGTTCCTCCTGTTCCTTCCTCTTCCTCTCTTCCTCCTGTTGTTCCAGCCACATTAGCTCCATCTTCTGTTCCCTCCAACGCTGCACCTAACACGACCAGTGGAAAACAAGAAAAGGTGTACTGTTCTAATTTGAACATTTCCCCAAAACATGCTTCGTAGGTCTACATATCCTGCAAAGCTTCTAATCTTTCCAATTTCAGACCTTAAAAACTATCCCCCCCCCCTAAAATAAAAGAACACTGCGAGTGGAAAACAAGAAAAGGTCTACTATTCTAATTTGAACATTTCCCCAAAACATGTTTTCTTAGTCTACATATCCTGCAAAGCTACTAATCTTTCCAAATGCAGCCCTTAAATCTATAAATCCCCTCTAACATAACTACCTGCACTTAAATGGTATACTGTGAGAGTGGAAAAAAAAATTGGCAAGTAATACCTACATCTCAGACACATTAACTTTGTCTTTTTCACACTCACACCCACAGAGTAACTCACCTTGTCATAGAGAACATCACAAAGCTCTTTCTGCTTCTGCTTGAACTCGTTTTTCACCTCCTCCAATTCCTGGGCCATGCAAACTTCGGCAAAGGTGGCGCTGGCCTTGGTGAGCAGCTCCTTCCTGTCCCGCAACCAGTCCAGCATCAGAGCTTTCTTCCTGTCATGGTAATATTTGTGTCTTGTACACCAATCTTCATGATCAACCTGACACACAAAGTAGAAGCTATTTTACCAATTGAGGGTTGTTTAAGTAGTTGCTGAAAGGAACTTTGTTACCACTTTGTTACCTATCCACATGAATGATAAACAAACATCTATGTGTTTAATGAAGTGATCTCGATTTTTGTACCAAATCTCCACAGTTAAAAAGAGGTGCAAGGGAATTATGCATGGTTTAAAATAGCAAGAAGAAAATAAAACAAACACACAGTTTTAAGTGTAAATTCTTATGTAATCTGAGTACTCCTAAAAATGAAAAATAAAAAAATAATCATCTTAAAAATGTTTAAATACAGTTTAAACAAAATAACAATAATCCTTACCAGTTCTTGTCTAGATTTCCCAGGAAAATGTCTCTTCAGTCTGTCTATGTACAGCATTCTTCTGTTGGTCATGTCATGGGGGTATTGCTCTACTATAACTTGGAACAGATAATGATCCTCCTCACTCCAACCTCCCCTCTCTGACCTATAAGTATACAGCTTTAATAATAATAAGAACAACAACAACAACAGTAATAATAATAATAATAATTTATTGGGTCTCAGATGAGTAGGATTGACCAAGGTAAAAGTTTAGTTTTTTTTTTTTTTATTAAAAAACACCTGATATCCTTAATCAATAAAATCAGCTGACTTAACAATCTATATTCAAACCAAAAACACAGGGGAAGGAGGATCCAAAATATCACCCCCACCTCCCTACCCCCCCCCCCCAACCCCACCCTCCTCGATATCCTAGAATCACCAGTATGTATGGACATATAATTTTGTAATCCAACTCAATTAATGCAGCCAAATCCTTTTATCCACAGGAATCAACTGTAACAACAATTTTACCCTAAAACCTGTGCGTGTTCCTGCTCCAGGTCCTCCAGCCTGGCCCTGTGCTGTTCATCTAGGAGGATAAACTCCTGGAGGACCGAGGCTTTCAGGTCAAGGTCAGGGCACTCCAGTTCAAAGGCCTCCATGGGGATCCCTCCTTGCACCTTCCTCTCATGGGTGTGGCACAGTTCTGCCAGCTCACCTGAAAGATTGTGATAAAGTTAATATTTATATGATTTGTAATATACTGTTATTGTAGAAAAAAAAAAAGGATGGGGATGTTTACCCTCTTAACATTTTTGTGTAACTGGCCTTCAATAAATATAGTAAATTTATTATTGTTATTATATGTAAAAATTATGACAATTTGACTAACTGTTGTAGGGTCTCAGTTAAAAAGAATGTTGTCGGGTCTCAGTTAAAAGAGAAGAAAAATAATAGACTATCGTTATGGTAATAACTTTGGAATGAACTATCCCCAAGGGGATTCTCGCTTAATTGCAATTAACTTGGGTGGTTTAGATGTCTGTCACACTTGCTGAGGCTGATAGAGAGTACTTAACTATCGCTTAGCAGCTTTAGTGGGTGTCCCAGATGTATAAGTCTTAAGACGCTGGGGCTGAAAGCAGTTTAGCGAGGGACCCATGTAGATGGACCAATCCTGTTAGATCGAACTAGTGATGGCAACCCAGTCTAAGTATATATGCGAAATGCAACTCCATTGGCATAAATTCCTGGTGGTTTTGCTAAAAATCCATTTTTGTCCCAAGTTGTTTTACAAAGCATGCAACCCACACACCCCCTGCCTCTTCCACCTACCTGAGGACAACTCCTGCTCCAGTGACAGCTGTTCATTGAGTAATTTCTCCAGTACTAGCTCCTGCTGGCTATTAACAGAGGCCACAGTTTCTAGAATTGCCTTGTGCTCTTCCAGGACCGACTCATCGTCCTCTTTGGTGTCATTCTGGTGCTCTACCACCCAGTATTTTAAGTCTTCCCTGTTGTTATGTGTAAATAAATAAAATAATCAATCAATTAATTATTAAATTAATGCACCAAGAAATCAAAAAGTGAAAGAACAAATGTTACAGTAAAACAAATGAAAAACATTTAAATTAACAAGAGAAAGATAAAAGAGTTTTAAAACTTTCAAATTTTTTAAATACAGTTCAACTTAACGCACTATTTGATAAAAAAAAATTTGATGAAAAAATCTGTCATACACACCTGAGATTCCAGACTGGCTCAACCGTGTCAGTTTTAAAGTGATTGAAATCATTTACTATACTGGACTCATAGTCTTCAAAGTCCTGAAAGCTATGTGAACACACTGCTCCATCCTCTGCATTCTGCCTTATAAATGCTTCCATCTCAACCTGAAGTCTTTTCCTGGCATTGTTTAGCCTTATGAATTCCTTCTGCCAAGCCAGTTTATGCTGCTTTATCAAGTTCTGATCCTTGTGCTCTTTGGAAGCCTGTTGGATCTTCTTGATTTTAAGAAGAGACTTGTGTGCTGCCATCTTTTTCACTGTCGCCAGGGTTTTAAGCTCTTCATAGTCCATGGCTCTATAGGTGGTGGTTTTGAAACCCTCAGTAAAACGTCTGACATATTTGTCTATTAAAAAAATGATGCATCCAATTACAAGCTGAATAAAGATTTACCTTAAGTGTCTTATTACACTTTTAATTTAATATTTTTAATCTTTACTTTCGTGTATCTGAAAACATATTTTTTTCTTTGAATGTGTATTTTTTTAATTTAGTATTATTTTCAAATTTGTACTGTACCTCTGAAAATTGTTATGTCTTCTTCTCACATTTGATTATCATAGACATTGACCAATAGGCATGATGATGCTAATTCTGTTTAATACTCATGGTATTATTATTGTTGTTGTTGTTACAAGGAACATGAATTTAATGTAAGTACCTTCTTCTTTTATCTTTTCCTTTGGAAAACCAGCCAGCTGGCTTTCTGTGCGATGGTTGGTCAGAAATGTCTTGTAATCTCTTCCACTCATGTTGTTGAGAATGGCTGTTTACCTGAAGGCGAAAAGAAGAATATTATTTATTTACTAAAATTAATTAATTTTTTAAACATTATCAGGTGATTAAACTGTCGTCATTTCCAGTTCAAACCGACCAGATTAAGCGACATTTTGGTACTATTGTCTATTAATTTCATCCCTTTAGATGTCATGCAAAATTTCACATGAGCAAATGCAAAAGAATCTATACATACCTTAACTTGTGTCAGTTCTTCAGTTTCTTCAGTCAGTTCACTCACAGAGAAACGGGAGCCAATGGCCATTGGGTGTTTGTCATCGTAAAATGCTGTGAAGGGCAAATAATCATTTGGATTAAACAGGTATAACAATGAATATATTCAACCGAGTCACACTTTAAACCACACACTATTCAATACAGGAGTAACTAAGAAAAAATGACGACCAAAACAAAAAATAAGTATACCGGAAGCGGCCATAAAAACGGTGCAGGCTGGGATAGCTACCCAAGACATAACTAATGCTAGAATTAAACCCAAATAATGATTTATTAAACACTGACCCATTTTAATACTTACAAATCCTACCGTCAGCACAATCTGTCACAAAGCTCTTTTATTTTAGCATATTTGCCACAATTCTATAACATTTTTGCTCTCCTGCTAAACCATGTTTTATGATTGTCTTGGGCTTCCATGTCATCACTCGGAGAATGAAGAGCGTGGAGATCGGAGAATGTAGGTGCAGTTTCTTTACTATTTCCATCACTTGTACGATACCTTAAGTATTGCAGTTAACTCCCCGGAAAACTCATTTGAAAATGTAGTTTGAAAACAATTTGATGCACTGTTTGAGTACCGTGGTGATTGGATTCCCAGTGCTTCTTCTTTGCAAGAGTCGATTTCGCCGACAGTCGCCTTCATTGACGCTTCAAAGTCTACTCGTACTACGACCTGGCTTTTGATTCTAGAAAATTAATCCCCCTTAATGCCATCAATCAAAACTTAGCCGCAGGTGTCTTTCATCAATTAAAGGTAAAAGTCGATATTACGCCAGTTTGTATTCTGATTGAGATGCTATCGGCTTAGCCTTTTCGAAATTTATGAAACTGCCGCCGGGCACTTTAAACACGCTTTAATTAGTAATGAGCATAAACCATCGGTTTATTAGAAGACAAAAATCTTATTGGGAAGAAATGCTGTTTTGTTTTGTGGCTTGATCTGATTAGGTGGAATCGACCATCTTACGATATTAAGAACTTAGAATATTGACTTTTTCACTACACACTGTTATTGGCTTTTACAGATGTAAATTTTGATAGGTGTGTGTGTCTGTGTGTGTGTGTGTCAGAGAGAGAGAGAGAGAGAGAGAGAGAGAGAGGGAGGAAGAGGGAAAGAGTGAGATATGATGATGATGCTCAGATGAGTAGAGACATAAACTTTTCAGCTTGTTCCCTCTTTTGACTATGTTCATCATACACAGTCTGCTATTTGATATTCAGGTAGTTGATGCAGCTAAAATATATCAGTCACCGATTAGTTACTAGTATATTTGTTTGCTTTTCTCCATAATCTTATCTCACTGGTCTATATATATACAGATATGTTTATATTAGGCTGTATTCAGAAGGTGGCTCAGTGTAAAATATTCAAGTTGTTACCTCAGGCAGTAAAATCTTGGTTGTGCACCCTTGCCGTTTTATTCCTGTGTGATCACTGACACTCAGTCATGTCCATTTTTGCTACTGACCACTACTGACCACTTACTGGCATTAGTAAGCCCATTAATTATTGGTATATTATATATAGAGAAAGGTATTTACTGGAGTTTCCAATCCAGTATCTGTATCTAAATTAAGTATGATCTAGTAAAAAACATTGTGACTGCAACCTCAGCCAGATGTCCAAGTTTTTTTGTCAGTAGCACTCCTATTCACGTTTTCTGTATTTACTGAGGAGACTGAGTGCTAAACAGGGGCAGAGCCATGAGATGAAAATTGTGTAGGTTTAAACTGTGTAATTCATATGAACTGGTACTGGCTTGATGTAAGCCAGGTTAGGTGGGCCTAGTAAAGTCCACTGTGTGCATTAGTAGTCTGCTACTAAAATGTTGAAAAGCACCCTATGCACTGATGAGACTTTTTGGACTTTTGTCGGAATTCCGACTTTTTCAGGGTCATTTGGGTTATTCTTGTGAATCGTGTACCCTGGACTCCCAGCCAGTTTTCCTACTTTTTCAGTGAGGACAGGTCTCATCCCTGTCTGTGATATTTTGAGCCATCAACGGGAATGCGTTCCTTGCCAGACATGATACCCTTTCAATGTATTTGTCATTGGGGGGCAATTTGACACCTAAGTGCAGAACTTTACATTATCCCAGGCAGTTAAAGTGCATGAATTCTCCTAGGGCCCCACAGTGTGATTTTGTATCGTATTTTAGGAGGCTCTGATATTTATCAGAGGGTTGTAAAGATGATGGGTGGACATTTTTTTTTTTTCAAATTTAATTTATCTTTATCCAGGTCAAAACTTGTTGGCTTTAAGCATGAAAGTTGAGGATATTGAAGAGAATTGAGAATTTCAGTAACAGAGCCTGAGCTACGTCTGGTGTTGAAATAATATTCACCTCCTGTGTCTTTCCGAGTCTAGATTTATAGTGAATATTATATAAAAAATACAAGCAGGAGTGTCTGAGGCTGAATTTATAGACTAACAGACATGCTAATACTCATATGGCTTACTACATGTATATTAGTATGCAGTTTGTGTTTAAGGAAATACACAGATTTGGCTTCTTTTAAAATCCATTTGTCATTGAATGGGATTATGGTACCCTGAGTTCAATAGTTTTGATTTAGTGCTTGTTCTTCAGTGTAGTAAATTAAAAGTGAGTGTTTTATGAGGGAATGTCAAAAGATAAGAGTTGATTCTAAATGACTGAGAATTTGTGTCTTTTTTTTTAGACAGTTTTAAAAAGTATTTTATGATATTGTGCAGCAGTGCACACTCAGATTTTTATGGGATGGACCATTTTAGCAATTTCAGCATTGTTGTTTCATATTATGTGAGGTGAGATGAAATATATTAAAACCAGTGATATAAATAAGTGTAGCAATGAATTATTGATGTCTTCTTAGGTAAGCTATTGTGCATATTATTCATGAAAACTAGCACGAATACAATAGAGTACTTGAGCTCCACTACTTAAGATTAATACAGATGTCAGAGACATCACAGTGTCTCATACAGCTACCATGCAAGACTTCCATAAGGAAGATAACCTGAAACCTGTGTGTATTACATTATGGCGAGGTTGACTAGGTTCCCATACATACAGCGATCAAACAGGACCGATCCATCTCCAAGGGGTTTCTTGCTAAATTGCTTTCAGCTCAAGCTGCTTAAGATTTGTATAGTATGCCTACTGAAGCTGCTGAATGATAATTAATTACTGTACTGCCTTGTAGCTTCAGTAGGTATGATGGACATGTAAGCCGCTTAAGTTGATTGCCATTTAGCGAGAATCCCCTTGGAGATAGATTGATCCAAAGTTAGTATGATAGTCTCTGGAAATGGTCTCTTACATTATGGTGAGGTTGTGTGATGTAGGGAAGCCTAAGATAAAGACAGGCGGAATATTAACTGGTGCTGTCTGACAAAGCTGCTCATCTAGAATAATGACCATGTGTGCCGAAGTCATTAAAATTCATATACCACTACGTACTTAATGATTGAAATGAGCCTGGAGAGCCACCTGGAGTCCTCTT